TTATATAACAACTGGAAATCCTAAACAACAAACATATTGGCAACATTTATGAATACCCACATAACATAAACCCATATTATTCGGGTCGGGTGTGGGTCGGACCTGGACCTGACCTTTCGGGTCCAAAACTTAGACCCATACCTAGACCTGAGGTCGGGTCTACTCGTCATGTCCCGGGTTTGGTTGGGTCCATTGCCAACCTAGTGATTGAATGGAGGTCATAATAATTACCTTCCAAGTAATAGACCCATACTTGACCAATGGCAAACACATGAAATGGTGCCTACAAGTTGCAAAAAAATGGAATGTCTACTTTTTTGCCAAATAATTAAAGGGAATAATGGGCAAAAGAAATATATATATATTTTTTCAAGGAAAGTTAGCAAATATTCAAGAAAAATTATCGGCTGCAATTCCGATGTAAGATTACATATTTGGCAAATGAAGGTATATTTCATTTTTCCACCAAAAGTCTGGGAAACATTTATAAGAAAATATAATGATAATAGTGTTCAAGATGTTTTATAAATGAAAATATCATTCTTCTTCCCAAAAAGAAAAGTTGGCATAAATTTGTAAAGAAAAAAACATTTGCAACCGCTTTGAGGAATAACACATGTTTGGCAAATGAAGTCATCTTTATTACCTAACAAACAAATTTCAATAGAAAATTGGTAAATAAAATTAGCGAGAATATAAAATGGTAGTAACCCATGCTATGCAAGGTTTCGGGAGGGGAAAGTTGGAAACGATCTTAACCTATAGCTTTTTATGTATATAGTGGCCACTCTCATGACAGGACTCAAACTCACACTCTTGCGCTGGCTACCCGAGCCTTTTACCGTCACACCTAGTGACTGCCCCAAAGAGAATATATGTTTTCTAAATGAAGGTACTTTATTTTGACAAAAAATTAAGGGAAAAAATAAAAAAATAAAAATAAATAATAATAAGAATATATAAATATATATATATATGTTATCCTTACATTCTGGACAAAATTTTGGCAACGAAATTGAAGGAAGAAATGGAAAATAGTGCTTGAAATTTTAATTTAAATTATATTAAAAATAAACAATATTAATTACAAAAAAGAAAATAGATATTAAATTTAAATCATGGTATCTCCTAAGTGGATATTATATCTAGGGGGCACATGTATATTGTGAACCTGTAGGAGCATGAAAAAATCTACCTTGATTATAAATAAATAAATAATCATAAAATTATGATTATAATTAGAATAATTTCAAAAAATTAAACGGCATTACTAGTAGGCAGGTAAAATTAAATTTTAAATAATATATCTCCTATGTGGATGCTATATCTAAAAGGACGAGTGTATGTTGTCAACATGTAGGAGCATGAATTACTTAAGAAGATTTATTGGAACTAAAAAATTATAGCAAATTTAGATAAGGGAAAAGTTTATATAGAGGCGAGGCTCTAAACAAACAAATTAGAGCCCACCTTAAAAGTTTCATTATAAGAGGTTGTTTTGATTCCCAAATATCCTCAAATTGTTAATCTTGGCATCAAGATGCATGGATATGATAAAAAAAATAGGTTTCAGGTTTTGGAAATGTTGCATCTTGTAACGTATTTTTGGACCATCAATTTTCAAGATTTTCATAGATCTGCTCGATCTATACTTTTTTAAAACTTTAAATTTTATGATTAAAGATGAAAATATATTGCAATGCTATCACAAAGATTTACAATATTGAAACCACATTTCTCAACACTAATTGAGGGTGCGCTTTACTTTGATTATTTAGAGCCTCGGCTCTATACAAACCGTACATGTTAGAAATGTGGTTTCAATACTGGAAATCTTTGTGATAGCCTTCAAATATATTTTCATATTTAATTATAAAATTTAAAGCTTAAAAAATAGTGTAGATCGAGCATATCTATGCAAATCTTGAAATTTGACGGTAAAAATAATGCATTACAAGATGCACCATATCCAAAACGTGAAATCCATTTTTTTCTCATGTCCATAGCGTCTTGATGTCGAGATAATCAATTTGAGGATATTTGGGCATCAAAACAACCTCTTATAGCAAAAGTTTTGAGGTAGGTTCTAATTTGATCGTTTAGAGCCTAGGCTCTGTAAAACTATTTCCTTTAGAAAAAGGTTTGGTTGAAACAATTTCGTTTTGTTTCGTGAATAGTTTTATCTTATAGTAACATTAGTATGTGTATCTATAGATAAAATAAAAGTTTGTAACATTTTTAAAATACAAATAACATCAAAATTTCACTACTTAATAAATATTTTAAATGTATAGTGTAAAGTGTAAATGGCATTTTTAAAATTTGTTATCAACATAATAATTTGTTCATGCGATTTTAAAACATAATTTAGGTTCAATCTAATGCTTTGTTATACAGTATCAAGCCAATCTTCCCAATTATCGGAGATTGCATTGCTATGTAAATCTCAAATATTTATCTTATTCGGATTTACAATAGATGATGTTCCTAGTTTCAATACCTTTAAAGCCGGATAATCCTAAACTATTTCTTATTAATAAAATCACATTAACAAAAATCGGTACATCGAGCTATTACTGTAATATCGACCTAAAGTATTTTTTTCAAATCATAAGTAAGCTATTTGAGCTGAATATTTACTATAGTGCAGATATAAGACATTTATCGGCTAATGTATTTCCACTAAAGTTAGTATATCAAAACTTAGGGATCTAAATATTTTTTGACATTAAACTTTTGTAGATGTGTTTATGAAAAACTCAATAGCATGAAATAGTCTAAAAAGACAAGAGACATTATTTTAAACTAGGAATAAAATTCAAGATAATAACGATTCCTGCTAGATATATTTGTTTTTTTGCTAACAATTCAACCAAAATACTCAAGAGATATAATTGAAAAATAGTGTTTAAGATGTTTTACAAACTAATATTTTATTTTTTTCCAAAAAATGAGGAAAAAATCGGCAAAAAGCATTCATGATGAAACCACTCAAGAGGAAAAAAAAACTGGAAACAAGGCTTAAGATGTTTAAAAAATTCAAGTTAGAAAAGTTGGCAGAAAATTGATGTCTTGTTATTTGGGCAAAACACAAATAAAAAAAAATCGATGAAATAAATTGGCAAAATGAATTTCAAGGCAATATTTATAAAAGAAGCGGTTGGCTATGGGGTTCGAACCCCTATCTAAATTGTATACTCAAAATAATTGCGGAGCACATATCCCTCGGCCGTTACTTGTTCGTTAAAAAAATCCACAAAAACACTCGTCTAAAATAAAAAGTAAATAGAGTTTAAAGATTTTTTGCAAATACATATATCGTTATTTTCTTCGCCAAAAAAAGGAAAAAATTTAAAGGACAAAATGTGCAAAAAAACTTAAGGGAGAGCATATGTTTAGAACAAAGATATATTGATACTTTTTTGCTAACAAAATTTGTAAAATTCTCAAGAGAAAGATTTGAAAAATAGTGTTTAACATGTTTTACAAATTCAGTTTTTTTTTTTTCCAAAAAAATGAGAATTTTCAAGGGAAAAATGTCAAAAAGCATTCATTACAAAATCACTAAAGAGAGAAAAAAGAAAAAAAGAAAACAAGGCTCAAGACGTTTTCAGATAAAGAAATATCTTTTTTGTCAAAAAAAAAATAAAATAAAATTGTCAAGTGAAAAAAGTTAACAAAAAATTTATGTCAGAAATAAAATTCAAGATAATAATGATGATGCCTGCGAGATATTATTTTTTTTTGGAAAACATATAAAAAAATTGATGAAAAAAGTTTTTTCTGGCAAAGCATATTAAATAAAGAGTAATGGTCCTATAGGACCCTCCCCACTTATGTATGTAGGACCCCAACGAATTATCATTAAAGTTGATACGAATATCTAAAAAAGTTATCACATGGATATGAGACTTATTGTTTTTGGAGATCTGTGCCAACTTTAATGATAATCTTTGAGGTCCTACACATATGAGTGAGAGAGGGTCATATATGATCATTTTTTTAAAATAAATATATATGAAACAAATTGGCAAAGTGATTTTTTCTCCAAAAAAATAAGAAATTTCAAGGGAAAAAATTGGCAAAAAGCATTCATGACGAAATCACTCAAGAGAAAAAAAGAAAAAGAAAACTAGGCTAAATATGTTTTCAGATGAAGAAATATATTTTTTTGCCAAAAAATGAAAAAAATTCAAGTGAAAAAAGTTGGTAAAAAATTTATATCAGAAATAAAATTCAAGATCAATAACGATGTCCGCTAGATATACTTATTTTTTTGTGCCTTACATATAAAAAAATAAAAATAAATAAATTGACAAATTTCAAGGCAATATTAAGAATATCCTTGCTGGCTATGGGGTTCGAATCCATGTGCACTTATTCAAATAAAAAATTCGGATGAAGAAATATAATTTTTTGTCAAAAATGAAAAAAATTAAAGTGAAAAAAGTTGATAGAAAATTTATAACAGGAATAAAATTCAAGATAATAACGATGTCCGCTAGATATACTTGTTTTTTTTGGCAAAACATATAAGAAAATAAAAATAAATAAATTGACAAATTTCAAGGCAATATAAAATAAATAAATTGACAAATTTCAAGGCAATATAAAATAAATAAATTGACAAATTTCAAGGCAATATAAAATAAATAAATTGACAAATTTCAAGGCAATATAAAATAAATAAATTGACAAATTTCAAGGCAATAGAAAATAAATAAATTGACAAATTTCAAGGCAATATAAAATAAATAAATTGACAAATTTCAAGGCAATATAAAAAAGAACGGGCTTGCTGGCTATGGGGTTCGAACCCATGCGCACTTATGTGCAGAAGATCTTAAGTCTTCCCCCTTAACCACTCGGGCAAACCAGCTCATTGATGCCAACTCATCCTAAATATTCAAGTTATACTATATATTCAATGCCAAAATGCGGACCTCATCCTAAAAGTTTCTCCTAATCGGACGGCTGATATTCACCTTAAAACTCCTATAAACAATTCCCTCGTCTCCCTACCATGAGAAAATGCCCTACTTCTAGGTCAAGGCGTTCTTCTTCTCAGCAAAAGGTGAGCATTTTCTCCTGTTTTTTTATTGATAGCCTATTCGATATATTCAACGTTTTTATGGGTTTTATTGACTAATTGATCGAGTTATTCGATGTTTTTTCACGGGTTTTATTGATATATTATTTGATTTATTCAATGATTTGCTGGTTTTTGCTGATTAACTCTTTGTTTGTTTGATCATGTTTCATGGGTTTTACGGGTTTATTTTTTTTATTTCTTCAATGGATCTGGTGTTTTTATTGTATTTGATATGCAATTTGTTCTTCATGATCTTGATAGTTTTGGGAACCTAGTTTTCTTTATCTCTTCATGATTTTAATCCCTGTGCAAAAATCAATTCTTTTCTTCATAATTTTCATCCCTGTGCAAAAATCAATTCTTTCTTCACGATTTTCATCCCTGTGCAAAAAATCAATTATTTCTTCATGATTTTCATCCCTGTGCAAAAAATCAAATTGCATGCAGTCTGTTTCTCCGTGATCCCTCAAGTGGCCTGGTTTTGTTTGTGCTCTATTGCATAATGGCATTGTAAAAACGCACGATAGTAGCAGAAACCCTAGTTCTTTCAATCGCTTTTCTCTTGAGAACTTGCTGCTAGGTTTTCTAGTTTTTTTTTGTTAGAACTAGATTGACTAGTTTAGATTGTTTCATAGACACTGGAGTTTTGTTTCAATCAAGACCTTTATGATCAGCAAGGATGAATGTAAATACCATGCTGTTTATCCGTGTCTTTGTTTGATGCTATGCCACTCTCATTGTCAGAACTTAAAAGTTGAAGAGTAACCCTAATTTTACTCCATTGGTTGAATTTTGCGCACAGTGAAGGATCTTTGGTGAAACACTAGGTTCTGAAGGAGCAATGGCAGAACATTTGGCTTCCATCTTTGGCACTGAGAAGGATAGAGTTAACTGCCCTTTTTACTTCAAAATTGGTGCTTGTAGGCATGGAGATCGATGCTCCAGGCTTCACACTAAGCCTAGCATTAGTCCTACTCTACTCCTCTCTAACATGTATCAGAGGCCTGATATGGTGACTCCGGGCATGGATCCTCAAGGTCAGGCCATGGATCCTAGGAAGATTCAGGAACACTTTGAGGTATTTATGTGTTTTTAGGCAATTTTTCTTTAACTGATGAGATATACTTGTTTCAGTTGAGAAGCCATTGTTTTAGTTTTTGCTTGAATATTAATAGCAATTTTTTTTTTAAACATGATTCTTATTCCTTTTACATTCTTTGTTGTTAATCTTTTTTATCTATGCAAACAAACTTCTTGAACTTTTAAAATAGTGTGACATTTGTGTTTTACAGGAATTTAGTATTCAAAGAAAAAAATTCTATTTGAAGGTTAAATTTTCTATTCTTAGTTTCAATTGTTTCATGCCTTTTCTAGAATAATGGAAGTTATTGGCAAGCATCTTAGATCCTCAATCTCTTGAATGTTCTGAATTGAGAAAGTGAAATGGAGAAATCCTCAAAACTAGGGAATAGTTTTGTGAAGATTTTCTCATCGATATAAAAGAAAGAAAGAGATTATGAATATTGCATCTATTTTGCAAAGGCAGACATTGAAGTTAAGGATTTTGTAAATGCTACTATAAAACATGTATGAATTTCTACTGAAAAAAATTGCTAAATTGTGGGCTTTGGAACAAGCTGTAAGTATCCTTTTACTGGTCTTATTTAGAACCAGTTATCTTCCCTTCCGTTATCTGCCATAATTATTGGGAATTCAGTGCCTTTTTTTGGGAAAGCGACCTTGTTTTTTTTGTTAGAAGCTGATGTGTATTTTCTTGATTTTGCTTAGTAGGCCTTGTGTTTTGATAGTTTTGATTATTGTTAAAAAAATCCTTTCATTGTATTGTCTTTCATTTTTAAAGGAATAGTATATTCAATTGTTTAAATGGATATTTATTTTGGCGACTACTTTTTTCAATGCTTTTGTTGACCGCATTTACCTTCTCTTAAATTAATATTTAGATATACGATTCAGAAACATGCAATATTTTGAATTATCATTTCCTTTAGTGAGTGTTAAATTCGGAGCAGGGTTGTATCACCTCCTTATTGTTGCCTGTTAAATAGGTGTATTAAAAATTTTAAGATGTTTTGGGCATCATCTTGGTTCTTTTGTTTCCAATTTTTTGAATTCAACTGAGGATCCATTTTTACTTTTGCTAATGTGCAATGCTTTAAAAGGTGCTAAGAGGCATCAAGGTGGCTTTTTTTTTTTGTGTTTGGATGGGGGGTGGTGTTTGCTAAGCATATATGAATGTATACATGCACACACAGGCTCATGTCCATATACACTTATAAATGTATAATTGTGCATGTAGATGTAACTGAAATATATACATGTGGATATATTCACATGTGGGTACTTCAGGCACAAACATATGCATGAAATATACACATATGATGTATGCATAAATGTGTACAATCAATTGACTGAATTGGACATTAAATTTGAGAAAAGAAAATTTAAAGTTTGGAAGTAACTAGGTAAATGTTGAATTATATTTTAGAAATGTGAATCAATAAATGTAAGATGTAACAACTACAGGAAGAGGAAGAGATATGGATGAATCTTATGGCTTATATCTCCATGTTTAAGACCATGAACTCGAAATACTCTAATACCTAGCAGTTATTCTCAAGTCTACATTCCACAATCTAGAGAAAATGGTACAAAAGAATCTGTAAGCAAAATATATGGATTGCATCATATTTAGTGTTTATCTTCATCATCAGGTTTGACCCAACTCCTTATCCCAAGCCATCGTCACCATAGTCATCACTTTTATCAACATAATGACCCTTCTTGTCAGCCGCTTCCATACTGGTCTACTCCTCTTTCTAGATGTCCCTCCTCCTCTCTGTACTGGGCATGCTAGCCTATCATGTGGTCCTCGTAGGGTCAGAATCTGGCCATGAATCCTCCTTGAACTGTATCTGGTGTCAAAACCTTACCAGGGAGGACCTTTTCTACCCTAGAATCAACCAGCTACTCAATGGCATCGTCTATGACTTTCACAGCAAAGGGATCCCTCTTGTCATGCTCATGAGAGTGATATCTTAGCTTCATTGTCCTGGATGATAATGGTTCAGTTTATTTTGCTCAAACCTATTCCTTTATTGGTATTCATTGTAGGAAAATGCTCTGCTGGATCAAAGTGGATCAGTTTGCCCCATTGGTCAGTCGAATCGGGCGGGGATAATCATAGTTAATAACTTACGTATTTGTCTCTTTAAGTCATGAAGTAATATTCAATCATGGTTAGTAATACGAAATATTATAAGCATTGCAAATTACCAACTTTCCATCTGAAAAGAACTCCAAGTGTGATCATAATTAGATGAGCTACATGTCAAGTTCAAGTTGCTAATGGCCATCATCTTTTTAGGGGCACTACTTCACGCCATTGGCCTGCATTTGCATTCTTTAAGTTTTAAATAATGAGTTTGTGAGTTGTAACTAATAAAATCAAGTATACATTAGGCCAAATATGAAACTATTAGAAGTTTAAAGAAAATAGATTACCTTGATCTGGTTTAGTCCTTCGTCTCACAACCATTTTCTTCCTAAATGATCTTAAAACACATTTGTATCTTGGATATCCCTATTGGAAATCAGCCTCTCAAGGCTTTCATAGAAGCCATCTATAATTGCATCCTCCCTCAAAAAAAATACTGTTCAATTTCATAGTCGGCGTGAAAAAATTTAAAGTTGAAGTAGTACACATCGCTGATGAAGCTATTAATCAAGAGGAAATTTTGACAAGGTTGAGAATACCTCAAGTGAGTGCACTGCCCCACTTTAAAGAGATTTAGACAAAATAGTAATACATACCCTCTTCCCTAGAGCGTGTTTGTACCATTTGCATATATATATATATTGATTGTGTTAATTCAGGAAAGATGTAGCAAATTTCGTAACCCCATGCTTGGTGGCTATTTTTTGGATGCCATAAGCAGCACGCTACGTCAACGTTAGCCTTTGAGGCTATTGGCAAAGTGCTAAGATGAAGGGGACACTTGATAAAGGTAAGGTGATTGTGCTCATATACTGTTGCAACCTTCCCCTTGGAATGGTATAAAATTGTTTAAAGTTAGGAAAGAGGTGGCAAATTTCGTGACCCCATACCTAGCTGTATCCCTTTCCACAGTAAAATTTTATACCATTCCAAGTGGAATGCTGCAATTGTATATGAGCACAGTCACCTTACCTTTATCAAGTGTTCCCTTCATCTTGGCACTTTGCCAATAACCTCAAGCATAATATTGATGAATGGTGTCCAAAAAGTACAAGGACGCTTTTGGTGCAATATATAGTAGGAGGCATATTGATTATAGCCATGCTTGTTACCACCCATACAAAATGCTCCTCTCCAACTTAATACCCTTGTCAACCATAGAAAATATATATCAGGCATCATGAACATCAGAAGACGTATCAATAGATCTTAGAAACACTGTGATACACCATCAGATGCTTTATTCTCATGTTTCTTCTATCACTCCATGAGTTTGTTGAGATTGAAACCCCAAATAGCACCCATGCATGCTCGTGGGTATTGAGGTACTCCTTTCTCAGCTATACCTCTCTATTTTAGCAATGGCTCCCTATGCCCATAAGTTCTGGAGCGTTCAACCCTAGCCCATAGCTTCTAATGATCGGCATTGTATGAAACTTTTTAGGTGGACATTATGAGATAGGTCCATTGAACACAATTCCCCCCGATACGTCCACCAAGCAATATATTGACTTACCTGGCCTCAGTTTTCTTTTTTTGAACTTGTTTCAGCAATAACTTGCCTTTTCCTTCATCTCCTCCCTTTTTTCCATATCATCTACTTTGCCAGTTAGCCCTTGGGGTCGCGAGGGGTTTGGGGAAGAGGAGATGGATAACCATGGGCCCCTCTTCATATGAGGTTTCTTAAACCCTTTGATTCTCTTAGTGCTTTGAGAGGAAGCCACTTTAGAATCTTCATTATCATCCCGTCCTTATCACCAAATACATTAACCTTGGCCTTTGCCATTTCTGGGCATCCAGATCTTCACTTATCTTCTCCCGAATATTTGCTGGAACTTCCTTACATGGAGCAACATCTCGCTAATGCTGGCAGAGTTTTTTTTGTATCTATTAATATTCTGATTTGTATTTTATTCACGATACTTTCACATGACTTTATTTTGATTATTTTTATTCAAACAATAACCATATTTCCAACATGGGTCCCCATTCCTACAAGAATCCGATCCAGACATATTGAAATATCTCAAACACAGATTTTACCAATATTGATCAATCTTTGCTGATCGATATCCAATTCTCGATGTTTTGGATGAATATCGAAATTTAAATCTCCCAAAATCTCCTCTAGTCAACTCTCATGATATTTCACTGCTGAATCCTATCCCAGAAGATTCTATAATGGAGATCATTTCTCATAATTGGAGATTTATTTAATCTGAAAAATAATCAATAAGCTTGATTTAAAGTTTTTTTTTTTCACACAAACGAAGCTCAGGGAGGTTTTTTTTGGGTAGGGTTGGATCCTTTTTTCCTCTGCCCCAAGGGCAATTTCCTCCCTCAGACCAGGAGTATGTGAGATGGGCATTTCATGGGCGCCCTCGTAGGCCTTGGCCGCCTCACCTTGGCTGATGCGGCCCCCAAGTACTCGAGGCATATGCCTTTTAAATACTTCCAAAATTTCTTTCTCTTTTTTGCTGCTCGCTTCTTTGTATTTTTTACCTTAATTCTCCTTTTATTATCCTTCACTTTTCTCTCCTCATTTTTATTTTTATTTTATTTATTCTTTGTCATACTCCTTTGTCGGGGATGGTGTACTTATGAATATGGTGGGCATTAATCCATTATACTGTGAACACGATTACTAAATCCTAAGATACTAACTGTAATTGCAGGACTTCTATGAGGATCTGTTCGAGGAGCTGAGCAAGTATGGAGAGATTGAAAGCCTTAATATTTGCGACAATTTGGCTGACCATATGGTAACGTATATTTTTCTTTTCAATCCTTTTTATTTTTGGGAAATTATGCGGTAGCTTAGTCATTTGAAACTTCACATTCGCTTGCAAATTTACATTGATGGTTATTATGGTGATAATGATCAACTTTATGGGCAGGTGGGTAATGTATATGTTCAGTTCAGAGAGGAGGAACATGCAGCAAATGCACTACGGGCTTTGTCTAATAGATTCTATGCGGGTAAAGTTTTTCTCTCTCTTCTTCTACTTTTCTATATACGTTGGTCTCTCTCTATTAAGACGATGCTTTGCATTTCTTGTGATGATTGATAGTGAATCATATCGTAACAAGTGCTTTCACTTGTGCCTTCTATTCACAGGCCGTCCCATCATTGTGGACTTCTCTCCTGTCACCGATTTTCGTGAAGCTACTTGCAGGCAGTATGAGGAGAACACTTGCAACCGAGGCGGCTATTGTAACTTCATGCATCTGAAGAAGATAAGCAGGTCAGTCAGTCTAATTTGTTAGGTTCCTTCGAAGCAAGCAACCCCATAATATTGAAGCACTTATTGTAGTACTTGTGGGTTTTTTTGTAGCTTATTTATTCTGGTCATATCATTTAGTTAAGGAAAAGGTTTATACAAGGTTGCAACCTTAAAATGTAGAATCACGGATGCACCTCAAAAATCCATCAAACAAGGTTGTTTTAATGTTTAAAAAACCTCAAATTAATCATCTCGACATCGAGATGTATGAATATGAAAAAAAAAAAAAAAGATTGAGTCCCAGAAGTGTATATATCAATACATCTTCTAGACCGTCTAGTTTCAAGATTTTCATATGTTTATAGATCTACTTGGTTTATAGATATACTTGGTTTATAGATCTACTTGATTTTAACCATTTTTTAAGTTTAAAATTTTATAATTGGATATGAAAATAGGTTTTAAGATAATCCTAAAAATGTTTTTCACCAAAATTACATGTTATGATCAAATTTGGAGGTGCGCCTTAATTGGATTTTTTAAGGTTCAACCTTATTAGAAACCACACCTTTTAGTTAATTATTCTCACTTTCCTTTATAAAAATGAGTTTATTTATTTCAAGATCGAACCTGCTTCTTTAGTAACTGTGTGGTTTTGTGTCTCACCCATGCAAAAATTGTTGTTGGTTTGTACTTACCTTAAAATTTGTAGTTTCTTTCTCAACTAAATGAAACATGTAACCATGGACTCAATATGCATCGTAGTTACCCAAACAATTATGATGTTTATGTACAGTATAAAATACAGGTTTTTACTTGTCAAAAGAAATGAATTTTCACTCACCTGATGAAAAAGACGTGCCTCTCTGTTCAACTGTAAGCCATAATCTCGGGTTTCTTGCTTATTCAAAGAAATGATGGATAATTCAGAAAAAGATGTTGGTTTTTTACTTTAACCAAGAAACAAAAAATTGGTTCTTTTAAGAAAAAAATGAAAGTTTCTTTGCTTACCCTAAACTAATGAAATTTGGGCCCTAAAGGATTGTGCGTATTTGCTCTTGATTATTGGGCAGAGAGTTGAGGAGGCAGTTATTTGGGAGGTATAGGCGGAGGCACAGTCGAAGCCGTAGCAGAAGCCGGAGCCACAGTCCCTATAGGCCCCGGATCCATGATGAGCGCCCTCATGGTGGTCGAGGCCGTGGAAGGAGATATGATGATAGAGATTTCCACCATGAAAGGAGGCCAAGGAGCCGAAGCCCTGGTCGTCGAAGAGGAAGAAGCAGGAGCCCTGGTTTGAGGAGGAACAGGAGCCCAGTTAGAGAGGGAAGTGCTGAGAGGAGAGCCAAGATTGAGCAATGGAACCGAGAGAGAGAGCAGAAGAGCACTGACAATGAGAACCCTCTTCAAAATGGAGATGATCAGTAGAAATGGCTAAACAACCACTAAATTGGTTTGTCCCCTCTACACTCTTGAACTGATTTGTTTTCTTTCTTTTTGTAGATTTTAGGTTTGCTTCTTTTTCTGCTCTCCATCCGATGCCTTGCATCATGGGTTGGTTGCATTTGCAAGTATCTCGTTTAGTTCTTACCGCCCATTTTCCACTGTGCAGGTGGTGTGCAGGTCCCTCTGTTCTGTGATATCAAATGTGAATTTTTCCATTTGGGTTTCTGATTTTTTTCTTCATCAAACCCGTTCTTTTGTTTCTTCCTATGCTTTTGCATCTTTTGCCCTCACTTTGTCGACACAGGAACGCATCACTAACCATGTTTTTACACAATCCATGGTCTATGCATGTGTTAGGTGGCTCCTTGATCACGGATGTCGCATATTTGTTTTGTCATGCATGTGTTTGTATCATTTGAGCTGCCCACCTTGTACTAAGCATTTTAGCCATGGACTAAACCTTTTTGCTATGGCCGTACATAGCTCATTCATGTTGCTATGGTCATGCATGTGTGTCATTTGAGTTCACCACCTTGGACTAACCATAGATAATCCATTGATCAGGTATGTTATGCGTTTTTATGGTCATGCATGTATGTATCTTCTGATTTCCCCATCTTTGGCTGACCATACTCCTTTCATGGTCATGCATATGTATGCATCACCTTGGACTCACCATAAATATTCCATTGATCAAGGACTTCCTTTCTTCTAGAAGATATCAATGAAAGGGTTTCATGGGATTCAGCCAATTGTCTTGATCGTGGGATCTTATTGAGATTTTCCCATCTTGGACAAATCATAATCCTTTTAGCCATGGTCATAAAGAGCCCTGGTTGATCAAGCGTTGTCTCGTCTTTTAGGATTATGCATGTGTATGTATAAATTGACCTATCACTTTGGACTAACCATATTCACCGTGGTCATAGGAGCTCGTCGGTTGAATTTCACCTTGTTCATTAAGAATCAGGGTTTTGTTTGAGTTTTTCCCATGGCCATAAGAGCTGGTCAAATTTGGCCTCGTCCCCCAAAAAAATTAGGGATTTGGATGGGTTTTCCCTATTTCCTTCCCCATTTCCTTTGATCTCTCATCTCCCCAGTTATATGGGAACATTTGCATAGAAGCACCCGGGTAATTCTGCACTTTCACCAGGCATCACTACCTATCTGGTTTTTGTGAATTTTGAAAATCTTTTGTGCTTACGCTTTTCGATTGAGTTTTTGCAGGTTCAGGTATCCCTGCTCCTAAGGATCGACATTATTTTTATGCAGCTTTATATGCAATTTTTTTTACAGGTTGGGTGCATTGGCCATGCGTATTAGGCCAGAAGCAGGAGAGTGGTCGTAAAATGAATCCCAGTGGTTGGCGGTCTTTTAATTAGGTATGCAATCATCTTATGGTGCAAATTTCCCCCAAAAAAGGTATCATCTTATGCTGCAGATTTGGTGTAGAAAGAAGAGACTTCAAAAAGTCAATGTTACTGTTTGTAGGGTGCATATGAGCTTTCATTTTGCAGGTTTATAGCTAGCTACACATGAGCTTCATTTGAGTGGTGATTTTGAACATTAGTGTAGTGGCTTGTATGAGTATCTCTTTAGAAAGGTACTTCTGTTAAATGGAAATGGTGCAAGCTTTCTTAATTTCTTCTTTTATTGTTTTCTCTACGTTTGTTTTGTGCTCTCTCCCCCGCTCTGTGTATTTGCTTTTGTTTTTTTATGTTGTTTTTTTCTGAATTTTTTTTCCTTGTGTGTCTATCTCACTGTTTTTTAATTTAGGAGAAATAAAAGCCTTGCAGATCACAAGACATGGAGAGAGAGAGAGAGAGAGAGAGAGAGAGATGCAAAATTGGAATGTAAAAAACAAATGTATAAATGAGAATTACAAGAAGCAATTATAGGGTGACCAGTGCAAGGCAATTGGATCCATTTAAAGGAGGGCTCTGGCTTGTATGGGGTGGCTGATAATTACTTTGAAGCCAACAAATGATAGCTTGAGTGCCCTTTCGTAATGACCAAATGTTCGTAGAACTTGGTATTTCACCTCTTGGTTTTCCCAATTTTACACCCTTTTGTGGATTTGGACTTTTTTACGAGGAAAATAAAAAATCCATAGTGTTTGTGAGCATAAAGAAATTTTAACTTCCAAAAGCTAAAGGATGGTTTTTTTGGGATGGTCACTTAAAAGTGTTTGTGAGCATAAAGAAATTTAACTTCCAAAAGCTAAAGGATAGGTTTTTTTGGATGGTCAAATTTGAGTGTTAATGGCTCGTTTGCTTTATTAGTTAACAAAAGTTTGGAGATAGTTTCGCTCTCAAAAATTTTAGGTAGTTTTTTACTCTAAAATTTAATATAGTTTGACTTTTTCTTTTTAAAATTTAAAATTTGAAATAGTTTCGCACCGGAAGATTATTAATGTTTTGGGAAACGGAGGATGGGTAATTAATTTTGTATCTCCCCCAAAAATGAATTGGCGAATTTTGGGGCCTACAATGTGCAAAATTATATCCCAAGTCCATAGAAAGTTTTGTTCAACCCTCATATAATATGTGGTTTTCTTTCTTCATCTTTTGGGAAAATCGTAGACCGGTTCATCCCATCATTTTGCAACAAATTTTGCCCGACAATTCCTAGAATTGAGGGAAGTTTGGATCTGTGCTCGTGCATGGAAAAAAAGATCAGTAAAATCCTTTTTTCCATGCACTGTTTTTTTTTTTTTTCATTTTCTGACCCGTTTTTGTTGATTTATTGATATTCCATGATCGATCGGAGATGTATACCGATGTTATGAACGTTTTGGTTCAAGAACTCCCACAAAACTCCCCTTATTAGGTGAATTATGAGCCTTTTAATTGGATCAAAGTGTAAAATTAGTTGTCTTCAGTTTTGTGCACAAATTTGCTCGAAATTGGCTTTCGATTCGATTGTAGCTTTTTGTATACTGTTGGAAGTTTGGATCCTTACCAGATTGATAGAGATCACAAAAAAATGGCAGGAGGTGAAACTCATATGATTTGGATGGAAAGACATGAAAAGTAGCCAACTTATCTCTAGATTTTTATCCTCTTTCGGAGAGAGAGACCCTCCAATATGGACTTTACCAATAGCCTACAACACATGGAATGACATATCTTAGCTTAGGGTTTATCTACCTTAGGGTCCAGGAGAAATTGAGGCTAAAAATTTACCAAAATTTGTTATTTATGCAACTTTTTACCCCCAGTTTTGGAATATCACAGGGATTAACTTTTCTGCAGTATGCTACATCGTTGATCTTTTAGCAAGTGGGCTCAGCTGGTGCAAAACTTTGGGGTTGAGTTTTCAGGGCCTCTATTTGCATTTGTAATGGGTCTTGGACCCGCCCGTCTGAGACTCATTTATAGGGGCTCTTTTGTAATTTTGACCTATTTACAATGATTTAAGAACTTGTATATTATTTCGATTGTACCTTCTTCATTTGGTGTCATTTTGAGCTGAAATTTGAGGGGCATGCGGGGGCTACCTTGAGGCTTGATTTGGGACAAATTTGTATTTGTCTTCCCCATGTTTAATTATGCGCCCCAAGGTCATAATTGATTTTAAGCCCCCTGTTTTTTATTCGGATACCCTCCAACATGCAAAATGAGGATTCACAAAATTTTAAATCTACAAATTATGGATATAAAATGCTCAAGTGGGAGCTCTTTCTCCATTCTTGGCCCTTTGGTTTCATATGGGCTCTTTGGCGCGGATTTGCTGGGAGTAGAAAAAATACATGCAAACATTCAGAAGTATGGATATATAAAATTTACGCGTATATGCTCTCAAAGAAGGAACTTGAGTTGTAAAACATGAATACATAGGGTTACTTTTAAATTTTAAAAATAGAATTGGACTATCACATAAATTTCGCTCGATTTTATTTTGGATGATGTCTTGGAATTCAAGCACTCCATCTTTTAAATTTCTTAGCGAATTAAAATAAATAAATAATACATCATTTGAAGCCCTATTTGGATGAAGAATTATTCTTCTCGCAACGATACATTTGTATACGAATGTGTAATGCGCCAGCTTTACGTGCCACTATTTACAAACGCAACTTCAAGAATGTAACCCCAACTATTGCAAAATGCCACCAATAAGATTTTCCTTATGGTTAAAAATAAAAAGAGAATCGAATTGACCTAGCAATAGGACCTGACCCAAATATATATATAGCCCACTAGCTCACATGAACATATGAGCCCAACGTCTCAGATTGATTCTGAACGGATCTGACGATCACGGATGTTCGGTAGTGTTTGATTAATAGGTTTTTTTATACAAATCCAAATGACTTGAAATTTTAGGTGTGTATTCATCAAAAATAGGTGAATCTGCAAAAAATATCAAAAAAATATTTTACATGAAATAAATTGACCAAAATACCTTCGAAAACTTTTGGAGGTATTTTAGTCATTT